CTCAGTTGTTGTGAGGGAAAGAATGGCCAATCACCGTTGCTAGGGAAAGAATGGCCAATCACCGTTGCTAGGGAAAGAATGGCCAATCACCGTTGCTAGGGAAAGAATAGCCAATCACCGTTGCTAGGGAAAGAATAGCCAATCACCGTTGCTAGGGAAAAATATTATCCACCAATTTGCTAGAGAATGGCCAATCACCGTTATAGAGAGAAAAATGGCCAATCACCGTTTAGGGAAGAATGACCAGTCACCGTTGCTGGGAAAGAATGGCAATCACCGTTGCTAGGAAAGAATGGCCAATCACCGTTGCTAGGAAAATGGCCAATCACCGTTGCTAGGGAAAAGGGCAATCACCGTTTGCTGGGGAAAGGAATATTGATCACCGTTGCTTTAGGAAAGAATAATAATCTTTTCGTTGCTAGGGGAAAGAATGGCTAATCACCGTTGCTAGGAAAGAATAATAATCACCGTTGCTAGGGAAAGAATGGCCAATCACCGTTGCTAGGGAAAGAATGGCCAATCACCGTTGCTAGGGAAAGAATGGCCAATCACCGTTGCTAGGGAAAGAATAGCCAATCACCGTTGATATTGAAACAGTTTATTTAGCCAGATGAACATAGACACAGAGTGGATAATAATAACAATGGGTGAGCCAGTTGAGAGCCAGAGCCGCACCTGATACACTATACATACTGTACATTTATCACAAGGAAGTATTATGTAACAGTAGTACACATAGCATGGTTATTACTAAGATATGTAGTTATTTTACATTATATTATAAGTATATACATATGTTACAGTTCACACACACACACACACACACACATGTACGTCACAGTTGCCACATCGTCCAATATTCGACCGGATGTTTTTTTTCTTCAGTATCTGGCCGCCATTGTGTTGCTGTAGTGAACAAACCGGCTTATTATTCCACTCATTGTTGTCGGTTGATATAATGAAACCGAGTGTGTCATTGTCTGTCTGGGGGAATTAATTATCTTGTTTCATTATGTTAGGTTCGTGGGGGTATAGTACTGTGAACCTGGTGATTAGGGCGGAGTCGTGGGCTTTGTTTTGGTGTTTGTTTTAATCTCTCTCTCTCTCTCTCTCTCTCTCTCTCTCTCTCTCTCTCTCCTTGTCCAACGCATTCCCCTTCCCTCTGATTGGTCTAGGGAATGGAGCTCTTTGATTGGCCCAAGGAATGGAACGCTTTGATTGGCCCAAGGAATGAAACGTCTTCATTGGTTCATTCCCTGGACCAATTACACTTGTTCAGACACGTAGCCGTTTTCTGTCTGTCTGTCTGTCTGTCTGTCTGTCTCTGTCTGTCTGTCTGTCTCTGTCTCACACACACACACACACACACGTGAGGACATACCTGACACGTAGCCAGACAGTGCCAGCTGGGTGTGTGAGTCATGGCACAATGTGTGTGTGTTTGTTTCTGTTGTCTAAGTTGTATTGTTTGTTCTCATCCTCCCCCTCTCCCCCCCTCTCCCCCCTCTCCCCCCTCTCCCCCCCCGGCCTGGTGAGTGAAGGGTATTATTGACCCCTCTCTCTCTCTCTCTCTCTCTCTCTCTCTCTCTCTCTCTAATTAAGTACACATCCCTCGCATAGTGTCATTCCAAGGCGTCCTGTGTATTCCTGGTTCCCATTCCAGTCGTTGTGGTGTTTCCTCATTCCTGTTTCCATAATCCCATTCCTGGTCGTATTACATTCCAGATTTTCCATTCCAGCTGTTTGCTTAGGGATTTATATTCGAGTTCTGCCCGTCTGTTACCCCTTTATTCCCATTCCAGATGTGTTCCCATTCCAAGTGCTGTTAGGAGGGTAGCTTAATATTCCCGTTCCAGCTGTCTAGGATGTTCAAGATTCCTATTCCTGTTAATTATGCAGTCTAGATTCCCATTCCAAAGATCAAAGGAGTTTCTTGGTCCCAGTAAATTACTCTCTCTCTCTCTCTCTCTCTCTCTCTCTCATCTGTTATGGGAGGCAGTTGACCTTGTCTGGCACTGGTGACGTCACTTGGCACTGACACTTCTCTACCCTAACAAATCTGACCTGATCTGACCTAACTTAACTTAACCTGGCGTAAGCTAACATGAGCTGACCTGACCTAATCTAACGTAACCTAACTTACCTTAACCCATCGCTGCCCTAACCCGCTAAAGTTTAGAATTTACTCGCCAAAGTTTAGAATTTACTCGCCAAAGTTTAGAACTGATTCGCCAAAGTTTAAAACTGATTCGCCAAAGTTTAGAACCTACTCGCCAAAGTTTAGAACCTACTCGCCAAAGTTTAGAACCTACTCGCCAAAGTTTAGAACCTACTCGCCAAAGTTTAGAATTTACTCGCCAAAGTTTAGAATTTACTCGCCAAAGTTTAGAACCTACTCGCCAAAGTTTAAAGGGGTGAACATGAGCTGACAGAGGCTGGCGACTCTTCCCTGCTGACGTCACACAATCAACAGGAGTTTTTCAGTTAATCTTTTGGAAGTCTGGAGGAGTGTGGCTTATGGGGGTTGAGGAGGAGGGGAGGAAGAAGAAGTGGGTCGAGGAGGAGGAATAAAGATGAAGAAGGAAGAGGGGAACGAGGAGGAAGAGGAAGATGGAAGGGAGAAGGTGGTTGACTGGTTGTGTTAGGGAGTCTGGTAGGGTTGTGATTGTGGTGGTGGTTGTGATTGTGGTGGTGGTTGTGATTGTGGTGGTGGTTGTGATTGTGGTGGTGGTTGTGATTGTGGTGATGGTATTGATTGTGGTGATGGTTGTTATTGTGGTGGTGGTTGTGATTGTGGTGATGGTTGTGATTGTGGTGATGGTTGTTATTGTGGTGTTGGTGGTTGTGATTGTGGTGGTGGTTGTGATTGTGGTGATGGTTGTTATTGTGGTGATGGTTGTTATTATGGTGATGGTTGTTATTGTGGTGGTGGTTGTTATTGTGGTGGTGTGGTTGTGATTGCTATGGATGGGTCAAATGTTTATAGTAATTGTGGTTGATTTGGTTGTGGTAGTATGCCCAATTTAACGGTAATGAGGAGAAATATTCGTACGTAACCAATACCATCGCGACTAATGACATTCAATGACCCATATTTATCATCAACATTTAAACACACAGACTTAGCTTCCCCTTTACATTACAAACAACAATCTCAAGTAACTAATAAACACTTAAGTACGTATTTCATCGACAAAATAACCCTGGGAATTAAATCAGCGAGGCGTATTTACCGTACCAAACACTGGGCTGGAAAATAGGATAGTTAGCCATTCCAGGTTTTCTTAGACGCCGCCACCAGAGAAAACGATATTTATTCAGGGGAGGCTCAAGTATTTTGGGTTTCTGTTGATTTTTGGCGCAATTTTTGTTGATGATGGTGTTTGATGGGAAGAAATTGGTTAGGTGTTTGATATGAGTTGTTTACTGTATCAGAAATAGTGATATAAATTTCTATATACTTTGCTATCTAACTATCTGTCTATCTATCTATCTATCTATCTATCTATCTATCTATCTATCTATCTATCTATCTATCTATCTATCTATCTATCTATCTCTATTTGTCAATTTATCTATCTGTCTGTCTGCTTCACGATCTCTATAGCTTCCTCGTCTAAAGTATGAAAATAGCCAAACGAAATCATTTCCTATAACCGGAGAAAAAATTAAAGAATTATTGAAATTAATTATAGATACGATAGATATATTTTTTATATAAATTATCAGTAGAGAATGATTGAAATAAAGAAGTAAAATAGTGAAGGAATAAATGTTATGTTTCGTATAATATACATTGGTCTTGTGGTATTAATGTATTGAAGGAAATAAATTGAGGGAAGTAAATGAAAGAAGAGATGGAATACTGGTGGAATTGATTGAGGTAATGGAGTTGTTTTTATTTAACAAAATTTATTGAAGTTGGTGAAGATAGGGAGAAAACAAGGATAACACACACACACACACACACACACACACACACACTGTACATATTTATTTAACAATTTTACAACTCGGAGATTAAAATTTCTTCTCGTGACCTAAAATGTAACCTTCACCTTTTTCTGATGGGTGACCTGCTCTGATGGTTGACCTGTTCTGAGTGTTGATCTGTTTTTAGTGTTAACCTTTGACCTTTCACTCTGTGGCTCTTCCCAGAATAACCAGACTTACGTAATCTGCCAGCGAGAAGCTTCACGGGGTTATACTGAGGACAGGTGTCTGCACCTCCTCCCGTCCCTCTCACACTCTCTCCTTCCCTTCCTCCCGCTTTTCCTTTTTCACTCTTTCACTATATCCTCCTCCTTTCCTCTTACATTCCTCCTCCTTAACTCTCCCCTCCTCCTTATCTCTCCTCCTCTTTAACTCTCCCTCCCTCTTTAACTCTCCCCCTCCCTCTTTAACTCTCCCCTCCCTCTTTAACTGTCTCCTCCTTCCTTTCCTTTATTCATCCCTCTTTCACCCACTCCTTTTTGTCCTTCTTATCCTCCCTCTTTCCCTCCTTCTTTCAACACTGTACGCCCCCCCCCTCCCTCCCTCCTCCCTCCCCTCCCTCCCTCACTCAGTTTATTCAGCAGTCCAGCCCAGCCAGGCCCGTTCTCTTCTAGACCCCCGACACCCCTCCACCTACGTCACCCCCTATCCCCACCACCCAGCCCACGACACACCCAGCCCACGACACACCCAGCCCACGGTACACAGCCCACGACCTTCCTCTGGTTATTTCAGTCTATTTTTACTCATTATTCTATGTTTATTCAGTATCCTAATTACTATTTTCGGGTGATTTTTTCTTTTTAATTTTTGTCGAGTTTTGTTTTTCTTTTAATTTATTCGTATTTTATTTGTTATCACTAGGCTGACTCATATGAATGGTTTAGAAGCAAGCTAACAAATAAACAAACAAACAAACAATCAAACAAATAAACAAACAGACAAACAATCAAACAAATAAACAAACAAATGGAGGAACCACTAAGTACCCCTCCTACACGCGCTTCATGTGGCACCTGGTCAGTGTCAGAGTGCCACCCAGCTCACAGTGCCACGAGTGCCACCCAGGTCACAGTGCCAGGAGAGCCACCCAGGTCACATGTCAGAGAGCCACAGGTCAATGCCACGAGACCACCCGTCAGTGCCAGGAGGCCACCAGGTCACAGTGCCACGAGAGCCACCCAGGTCACAGTGCCACGAGAGCCACCAGGTCACAGTGCCACAGAGCCACCCAGGTCATGTGCCACAGGTCTCAGTGTCGAAGGCCACCCAGGTCACAGTGCCGAGCCACCCAGGTCAGTGCCAGGAGAGCCACCCAGGTCACAGTGCCACAGAGCCACAGGTCACAGTGCAAGAGCCACCCAGGTCACAGTGCAAGAGCCACCAGGTCACAGTGCAAGAGCCACCCAGTCGGAGAGCCACCCAGTCTGATGCAGGAGCCACCCAGGTCACAGTGCCACAGGCCACCCAGGTCTGGTGCCAGGAGCCACCCAGGTCACAGTGCCACGAGAGCACCCAGGTCACAGTGCCGAGAGCCACCCAGGTCACAGTGCCACGAGGCCACCAGGTCTGAGGAGGCCCCAGGTCAAGTGCCAGAGCCACCAGGTCACAGTAGGAGAGCCACCAGGTCACGTGCCAGAAGCCACAAGTCACAGTGCCAGGAGAGCCACCCAGTCACAGTGCCACGAGAGCCACCAGGTCACGTGCAGAGCCACCCAGGTCACAGTGCCACGAGAGCCACCCAGGTCACAGTGCCAAGACACCGGTCACAGTGCCACGAGCCACCCAGGTCACAGTGCCACGAGAGCCACCAGGTACAGTCCACGAGCCACAGGTCACAGTGCCACGAGAGCCACAGGTCACAGTGCCAGGAGAGTCACCCAGGTCACAGTGCCAGAGTGCCACCCAGGTCACAGTGTCAGAGTGCCACCCAGGTCAGATGCCACAGAGCCACCAGGTCAGATGCCACGAGTGCTACCCGTCACAGTGCCACGAGGCCACCCAGCTCACAGTGCCGAGTGCCACCCAGCTCACAGTGCAGGTCCCACAGCTCACAGTGCCACAGGTCACCCAGCTCACAGTGCCACGAGTGCCACCCAGGTCACAGTGCCTGATAAAAAAGGTAGACCTACATCTGGCAACATTTTGCAACACGAATCGATTTTTAAAGAACCTTTTGACGGTGTTGCTGTCTCACTGGTCACAGTTTTCCCCGCGATGTTTATAATATATTAATGTGATGTTTGTGACTGTGGTGATGGTCGGTGTTAGATGTTTATGTCCTGGTAATTGTTATAGTTTGGTTCCTTTAGGCAGGTTTATATGGGATGTTTATCTAGTGTTTATATTTCCAACTTTCACGTTGAGAGGATGTCAAGTGACGAGCTCTAAGTAATGTGTATTTGTTTTGTTTACATGTTAGTTCTTTTCCCCGGCTGTAAAGTTTCTTCTTTATGGTTTAGAGTCGAGAATATCGTTCGGGAATCATCAAGCAAAAGTTCCAGGGTGTTGGTGAGGCGTTATTTTGCGATACGTGGCATCACTTGCGTACTTTCCCGGGTTGAGCTCAGTTAGCGCGCACCTTTAGTCGTGGCGGCGCTCAACAGATGGCGCTGAGGAGGCCATCACCCGCCCGTACGACGCTCCTCAGAATTACCCCCAATGATAACATCTCGTGGTGTATAGGAAGGGGGTTGATATATCTCGCTGTGATTACAAAACCTCAAAATAAAAATAATAATATGGTTTTTTTAGATGAGGTTTAGGGTTCGGGATGAGGTAGTGTAAGGTGAGGAGGGTTTGGTGATCATCGTGCCCCGGCAGTGAGGTGGTGGTGGTGATGGTCGTGATCTCGTCTGGTCTGGTAGTAAACAGTGTGGCGCGCGAGGGGTGACTTGTGCGCTGGTCTGACGCCTGCCTCCCTAACCCAGGCTTAACTCGACGTATTTATTTCACCTCGTCATCACCTTAAACAAAAAGTAAATCCGGATTAGTGTGATTCCTATATAAAAAAAAATCGACTGGAATATATTAGTAATTTATATATATATATTTTTTTTGAGGGGGTTATTTAAAATCTCGAATGCTTCAATAATCGCCATAAGTGATGAGATAAAAAGGAAAGGTTATTATTTCTCCCCCCTCAAAAAAAAAATCACATCGTATCGTATCGGGGGGTGATTGAAACCTTACGTAAATCACACACAATCACCGTCGAAAAACTCTACAAGTGGTTTGACGGACTGGGAAAAAAACACAAAAAAAATACAAATAAACACCATAAAATACGTAGATAAAAAAAAAACTATAGGAAATTAAGAAAGTATTTATATAGCAATTAGTGAACACCCCCCTACCTCCTCCTCCACACCCCCTCTTATACGTGGGGTGAGGCAAAAGAGTGTTATACTAGTGTGGTGTAGTGGTGGTGTATACAGTGTGTGTGTGTGTGTGTGTGTTGTGGAGAGGTGTATAGCAGTGTAGTGGGTGTGTGTGGTGTGATTATCCACTGCTCCTCCACCTCCACCTCGTCTGGTTGAAGTAAGAGGTCAAGTTAATAAGCCAAGGCCTCCGTTCCTACTTCATTAACAGGTAAGTTTGGTTAATTAGGTTAGGTGTGTGTGTGGGTAAGTGCGTGCATGCGTGAGTGAGTGCGTGCATGTATGAATAAGTGCGTGAGTGAATGAGTCCGTGCGTGAGTGCGTGCGTACTCAGTGAGTGAGTGCACGCAATCTCACGTACAGTAAGTCTGAAATTTTATAAAAAATACTCAACTGTAGCCTTGTCTTGCCCCGAACGGTGACCTCTCCTGACCTGGCTGGATCTCCTACTGGGTCAAACTATCTTAAATATAGATCTCGGAGAATAGATAGATAGTTAGATAGATAGATAGATAGATAGATAGATAGATGTATTAATTGTACGTGGGTTAAAGGTGGTCCCAACCTAACCTAACCTAACCTAACCTAACCTAACCTAACCTGCGCTATATTTTTTTTACTCTGTGGATCAATTCTTTTTATCGTAAGTAATTTTTTTTTAATCATAATTGGTAAAGGAATTTTTTGTCGTAAGTCAAGAACGCATCAAGTTGTCTCACTTAAAGATACGACACTAAAATAAGTTAACAACAGGTAAATGATTCTCTAAAGATCGTAAGGTTAATTTTCCCCCGTAAGTTGAGGTATAAGAACACACCTTTAATTAGCCAAGTATACAGGTAAAAGAAAAAACAAATCGTAAAATATTCTATAAAAAAAAGAAAGAAAATGATGTCAAATTACACTTGAGACTCTACCTTAATTAGTGACGTTCAGTTTAACAGGAAGAGGACAATTAAGACGGCAGACAGACGGACAGTACACTTTTTGTAATGGCTTCGTAATGGCGAACAAATTATGCTGTGACTGTACTGTGTTTAGATGTGTTGTGTTTACTCTCTCACCTCACCTCTCACTTCACCTCACCTCTCACTTCACCTCACCTCTCATTTCACCTCACCTCTCATTTCTCCCTCTCAAGCCCCCCTCACCTTTTCGCTTGTCCCTCTGCCTGCACCTCTCCCTTTCCTTTCACCTTTTCCTTTCCTCACTTCTCCCTTCCACCCAACTTCTCATTCCGTCTCACTCTCCCTCCCCCTCCCACTCACCCCTCTCCCTCCTCCCACTCACCTCTCCACCCTCCTCTCCACCTCACCCCTCTCCCTCACCCCTGTCCCTCCCACTCACCTGTCACTCCATACCTCTCCCTCCCACTCCACCTCTCCTCCCCCACTCACCCCCTCCCTCCCACTCACCCCTCTCCCCCCCCACTCTCTCCCCTCTCCCTCTCCCTCCCTCACCCTCTCCCCCACTCACCTCTCCCCTCTCCCCTCTCCCCTCCCCTCACCTCACCACACCTCCTGAGGCTGTAAGCTCTCCCTGCTGACAGCTGCTTCCCGATATAGTTGACAACCGGTGTATGGTCTTTAGCATGCTCAACCTGACCCAGAATAAGCTGTCTCCCACTCTCACACACACTCTCACTCCACACACCCACCCCTCACTCCTCCCACACCTCTCCTCCCTCTCCCTCCCACTCCTCCTCCCACACTCACTCACTCCCCACCCCCTCCCTCCCTCTCCCTCCCTCACTCACTCTCCTCACTCCCACTCCACCACACTCCACTCACTCACTCACTCACCCACCCTCCTCTCACTCCTCCTCCTCTCTCCTCTCTCTCCACTCCACACACACCCACCACTCACTCTCACTCACTCACTCCCCACACACTCCTCTCCTCCCCACTCCTCCCCCCTCTCCTCCTCTCACTCCCACCCACCCTCCCTCTCTCACTCACTCACCCCACACACTCTCACTCACTCACTCACACACTCTCCTCACTCTCCTCCCACACACCCACCCCACTCACTCACTCACTCCTCACACACCTCTCCTCCAATCTCACTCACTCACTCACCCACTCACTCTCACTCACTCTCTCACTCACTCACTCACCATTTAAATCTGACAGCCATTTTAAAATCTGTCCCCCTATAGGTATTTAAATCGTCTGTATTCGGACATTAAATCCTCACACAGGTGTCTTGGTCCCCAAACACCTGTGAATTACACCTGTGTTATCGTGTTGGGGTAGGTATGTACAGGTGTATATAAGTCGGGACAGGTGTATACAGGTGTTATATAAGTCGGGACAGGTGTATACAAGTGTTATATAAGTCGGGACAGGTGTGTACAGGTGTTTAAGGGTTTTATAAGTGTCGGGACAGGTGTGTGTAATAACGGGGCAATATACCTGAGACTGCCTTCTTTAATTAGTGTCTCACCTGTTCTGCTGGCGGGTACTTACACACACACACACACATATATATATATATATATATATATATATATATATATATATATATATATATATATATATATATATATATATATACATACACACACATATCGTTCATTGATATTATAAATGGGCATGTTTGTTGATATTTAACCTCAGGTGGCCATA